CACAGTGGATTTTTCCTGCAATGGCTGTCAATTCTGTGACTCCCAAAAAGCTTTCCACTGTGCAGCTCAATTTTCGATGGATGAGAGCAATAGGAACAAGTAAGAGATGCCTAGAGGAGTTGCACTTGGCTAGAAGTAGGAGTAGAAATGGCATTTCCTAATAAAATATTTGGGAAATGTGGAGTGTTTATATCAAAGAACGTTCAGGAAAAGTTTACAAGATGCCTTAATTAAAATCATTTGTTATTCTTTTAGGGTTCAGATCTTCTCCTACATAGAGGAGAATAGAGCCAGCTGTATAAAAATAGACTAATTACTTTGGTGTTGATTTTTAATTTTTATTACAGGTATACTAGACACATCATGGGCCAAACTTGTGGAGCATTTAGATGCTATTCGAGAATGATGCAGTACCTCCTCATGGGATTATGTTTTTATATCCTAGTGACCAGTTCATAAACTAGATTTTAGGAAAAGTATTCCTCAAAGGAGGTGTTCTTTCAGTACAAGCTTATCCAAGTCCCGGGCAGGGGTTACCAGTAATTTAAATTCAATCATTGTTATCTTAGAGAGACCCTTATGTTATTTACTTTTTATGACAAAATAGCTGATTTGAAGATAAACTATTTTGCCAATTGTTATTTTGTGTCAGGATACAAAACAAAAAAAAAATGTTTGTACATACAAATACACACATTATACATATGTTGTTAGAACAACTAAGTCACATAGACTGAATTTTATAAAGCTGGCTTAATATATAGACAGAGCCTTAATGGACTCTTTCAAAACACCATTGTAATTTGCTGTTAAGATTAGTAGGAGTGAGCATGTTATACCTGGGAGGCTATGTTAACAGACCTCATTTGTCACATCTTGGGAAGGTTGTAGTGGTCACCCAGAAGATGCAGTGTTATTACTGTGAAGACTTTTTACCGGAGATTAATACTGTGGTGACCACTTGGGTTATCGTTACCAAGAGATACAGAACAACTAACTGGAAGAGTAGCTTTAATATGAGTCTCCTTATATCCAAGGATATTGCTCCTGGAAATCCCTGCTCTTATAAGTTCCCAAAGTCCACACCATGTAAAATCTAACTGAATTGGGGCTTCTTTTTACTGAAGTGCGTTTCTAATCTAGTCCTAGGTATATAAGAACCATCTTTATTTTCTGATGAAAAATACTGAGGCTCAGTGGGGTGAGGAGATTGCTTAAGTTCAGATCCATGAGAGGAGAGGGGCGGGGAGGTAATTGAAACTAGAATCTAGGTCCTGTACCTCTTAATTCATTGCTTTTTAAAAAGTATGTTTCTTTCCTTTCTCAATACTATTAATAGCCATTTTCTATGTAAACTTTGGTACTTCTGTGTATTTTTAACTTTTCCGGAGAGGCGTTTACAAATCAAATGAAAACCTCATCATTTCTCATGTCAAAATTCCCAAGGGACTTCCCTGATGTTATCCATTTATGTCTCCTTTCTAGAGAAGAAAGTGTTGGCAATACTTTAAAAAACAATGGTTATCCCTTCACAAAATGATCACAGAACAGTTTCCCTTTTTTGATTGTTCACTTTCTCAGGTCTCTTTAGAGACTACTGTTTCATCCTTTTGTTCTTTTCATAAGTTATTGCTACTGATTTAAACACTTGCAATATGAGGATTTATTCTGAGAGGGTGTATACAAGGCCATTCTACCTTGTGCATCCAGGAATCACCAATACCGAATCTGAAATAATGAGTCATAATGCACTTCAACTTAACATTGCAATTTCATACATTTCTCTTTCCTTTGTTAAAGATCTCTTCAGAGATTATCGAGGTCATATCCAGAATGAAATTTCAATTGTGGAATTTTATGACCATCAAAACTGGTTATTCTCATATATATGTTGCCTCGATGATAAAACTACTTTTATTTTAAATTCAGATGAGTCTAGTTGACAAGGTATTTACTAAACATTCTGTCTAATACCCTATACAGGTTCTAAAATATTTTCTTTCTTAAGTTTCCATAAACCACTCTTTCTTGATTTGCCCCTTACTGTACTACCATTCCTTCTCAGTTAGCTTTGCTGGCTTTTCATCTTGACCTAAATATTGTTATTCTACAGTGTTCTGTCCTGTATACACTGTTCTTCTTTATTGGTCTCTTGGCTTTAAATTTTATCTGTATTGGATAACTCATGAATCTCTCTCACTCTCCAACCATATACTACACATTTAGTTATCCAACTTCTAATTCAACATCTCCACTTTAATATTGAGTAGGCATCTCAATCTTAACATTTCTAAAATGTAGACTTACGTGTATTCATAATGTTGAAGTGAAGGAGGTGATAGAGTGGTGGCATTTGAAGATAGAGAAGACAAAACTAATTCGAGACGCGAGCTCAGTAGTCCTCAAACTTCAGAGTTTGAATATGAGAAGAATTTGATTAAAAGGTAACTGAAGGAGACTAAACTTTGGGTGATGAGTACACAATGCAATGTACAGATGATATAATATTGTACACTTGAATCTTATTTACCAATGTCACCTCAATAAATTTAAGTTAAAAAAAAATCAGATTCTTAGGCTATACCTCCAGAGATTCAGCTATGGTAGTTCAGGGGTGGCATCTGAGAATCTGCATCTTAATATCCCAGGTGATTATGATACAGAAATCTAAGCACAACACTTTGAGAATCTTGTTCCTACCTAATGGCTGTGATGAGATTCCTAATATTATGCTGTCAACTTGGTTCTCATCACTCAAGGACAAGGCGGGACTAAGTCCTTTCACATATATAACTGGATAAAGCTGGGGAATTTTAATTATGTTTCAATTGCACTTAAAATTAGATTTGTCTTCACACTTCCTGTAGAACCACTTTAGCATAGGATGCATTTGTTAGCTGGACTCACATATTCTATTTAAATAAAGGGATTCTGAATAGGTTTGCTGTGATTGACACTGTATAAAATAAAAGATTGAAGATAATCATGTCATTTTCAGTTCTTCATTTTCTGATCTTCTTTCTTTCTTGTTTAATGTATATATCAAATCCAAGCTGCTTCTTTCTTTCTTGTTTAATGTATATATCAAATCCAGAGTAGAGGAATTGATCATTTTTTGGCTTTTGCCCTCCATCAAGCCCTGTATGACCAGCATATATTTCTAGCATCTCCAGCAATTGTCTTACCAATATGCTTTTAACATTCATTTAGAAGTAGAAAGACAGGTTATTTTTTTAGTCAGCTCAAGTGCTTCCCACCATGACAGTTTGGGAATTATCTTTGGGTACCAGTGACTTTAGCTTTTCAGATCATTCCAATTGAAATTACATTTCATGTAAATTCTGAAGTAGTAATAGAAACTAATCATCATGTCTTCATCCTGAGCATGTTAAGTAGACTGTAACTTTTTAAAAATCAATCAAGGTATCATAATTTTCAAAGATTGGACAGCAATGACCTTGAAATAACTGTAAATTTTGTTTCTCTGACTGAAATAAGAGTTTCTCGGATTTGGAAATGACATCATCACTAGGAACACATGTAATATTTTGAAATTCAGAACAGGGTACTTCTATGTTATTATTCTTGCAACGATTTTATTAATGGAGAATAGTGCTAAAATGTTTTAGATGCATATTAAGTTTCTGACCACAAGTATTCATTTAGTATTTTACTAAAAGTAATTTACTGAATGATATTGTAGTGTCCTAGAAGAGTTTCTACACTTCTGAAAGATAAGCACTTTTCTCCCTCCTCTCCGAGAGAACTTAGTATGACCTTGTAAAGAGCTACAATGAAGAGATTTGCCTTGGCGTTAAGAAATAGAATGGACGTACTATTTTTATCCTAGTTGACTTTTTAAGTACTCATTTAAAGATAGTCACTTGTTTGCAGAAAGGCACATTGTATGCTTGAATGAACTTGGGTTTCTCACCTGAGGGACTGGCCTTCTTAATAAAAAAGAGGAATCTATAATGGTCAGTAGTATGAGAATTATATCTGCCATGACAGTGCTATTGAAATGGATGTGTTCATAAAGATAAGATGCAAAAAAAGACTTGAAGCTCCTTGCAAGATATGGGAAGTAAAAGAAAATAGTGAGAGATTAGGAAAAAAATTCTTGTAAAAAGAGATTATTTTCTAAGAACAATATTTGTACAAATTTCTGTTACCATAGACATACTAGGGGAAAATCTGGGGTACTTGAGGTTGCTAGGCACTGTGATGTGATCTGCTTGTTCTGCTTAACATCTTATATAGAAAATCTTAAGTTTGCTTTGGTGTTTGAATTAGTGATATTTTTTTTGACTCACGTATATATGTTATCTATTTCCTCCTGTGACCAATGACAAATAGGAGTTATAAAAGTCAATGGATATTTACCTATCAAAAGAAATAGAGGTGAATGTATTACTTTCTCTGAATGGCCATATTACTAAGAAAGAGAAATGGGTATTGTTGCACAGTTGGAATTTGCTACTACGGTTAGTATACTCAGATTTCTGCCTTTAGTGAGCTTAAAATATTCTACAAGCATTTAAAAAATGTACATAGTTAACTATAATATAACCAGTATAAAATAAATATGAAATAAGATTGGTATAAAATGCTATTAATTAAAGAGAAGAAAGCTTGAATATGCTATAAATCATTGTCATTTGAAGGACATCCAGGAATGAAAGACCAACAGGGTGTGGAAACTGTGGGTTTACATAAAGGAGGGAATTTCTGACTAAAAGAGGTATTAAAATATCTGATAAACAGGACGTTTTCAAACTACACCCACTTCGGTCCACCTAAAGCCTCGGAGATCCCTCCATACCACCAAGTGTTTTCTATTTATTTGGGATAATGAGACAGGGAAAAAAGATGGAGACCAACTGATCTAAATTCTTCACAAGTCTTAAAGCCTCCAAAGAATAGGTAACTCTATCAGATATTTCTACTCATCTTGCTGAATAAGGTCTTTGACTTTTGTTTCTGCTTCTTCTTCCTTTCAGGGTGCTTTTCAGGAAATAATGATCACGTTTTGGCAATTCATCATAAAAAGAATGGGAAGCCAGCATTCATTTATCACCATTCACAAGACATTGAGAAGAGCCTGGATGTAGCTCCACAAAAGATATATAAGCATTCCTCTGCTGGAGCTCAAATAAGCAAACGCCACCAAATTGTTAATTCAGCATTTCCTAGACCTGCATATGATCCATCTCTCAATCTTTTGGCTGTAGCTGGTCAAGATCTTGAAGTGGAAAACCTTCCAATCCCAGCAGCAAATATAATTGTGGTGGTAAGTATCACAGTTAACTGATGCCGACGTTGGTGCTGGTGCTTTCTTCTGCGCTTGATGTTGGGAAGAAAAAAAACCTAATGGTGAATAGTTATCATTGGATCTCAACGATTTTTTTTTTTTACCACAGCACTTCTCATTCTCTGATGGTTTTTGTTGCTTGATTATTGTGTGTTGGCTTCCTCTTGAATGTAAGCCCATGAAATAAGAAACCTTGTCTGTATCTTCTGTGCACAGCACAGTGCATGGTGCATAGTAGGTGTTTAATAAATATTTGAATTAAAAATTGCTTTAGGAAGACCTTACAATTATAGCAATCATATCCTATACAGAGCCTCCTGCCTTCTGTGATAATTTCTTCTAAGCAGACAAATCTTAGTCTCAGTTTATATCAATAAATAATACTTAGTAAAGAACTTCTGGTCATTTGACTCAAATTGCAAGAAACGAAGAGTCCACTGAAAGGGAAGTGGTGTTCTGGGCCAGAGGTAGTTTTCTGTCACTGAAGTAAATAAGATAATTTGAGAGCAACTGATGGGTAATATTCCTAATATAGCTGGACAAACATCACCATTTATTAATCAAGACAATGTGATGGTTCCATTGCTTGCATCCTTAGGGTGTATAACCCAGGCCAGAGGTTCTCAATCTGTGGAGGTATCATAGTTAAATACATGCTGACATTGACATTCTATTTAGACTATAGTCCCTCTCAAGTTTAAAATCACAATAAGAGGATCCACATTAAAACTACAGATCAGTAGCTAAATGATTGCTATTGCATTTCTGCCCCCAAGATATAATCAAAAATGTTGACTTTTAAGGTCACAATAATTCATGAATCCCTGTTTGCATTTTGACAACCTTTCTATGCACCAAATGTAATTAAACTTAATAAGCTTTTTTTCCTTTTTAAAATTTTTCATCTGCCACCTATAGGATGCTTTACTTAGTATTGAAAATCAAAGATCCATTTATTGATGCTTTCAACTACCATACATGGAATATTTATTAGGATCCAGTCTTCATTTTGGGTAGAAATAGCAATAAATGAAATGGAGTCTCTGGTTTTGCTTGAGATGTCTGAGGGGAAATGTCAGTAATTTAATAAAAATCATAAATTGAGAACACAAGATGAGCTCTTGGTAAGAGAAAATATGTGGGTCATTTGGCTTCCTGAAATATTTGAACAAGTTTTTTGCATTTACATGAGTAACAGATGTTCTGAAGGTGAAAGCCATGTATTCTGTTCAGTGAAGATAAACGCTGTTAATGACGTCGTTGTATCTGGATATGGCTGTGTGAATGCTAGGGTCCATGGCAGATATTTCTTCCAGTGACCATCATAAACCATGGTCATCAACTCTTAAAGTCCCTGCGAATTATAATTCACAAGGTCTGTTCTATCATGTAAGGTCATGTACTATCTAGTGAACTTAATATTACAAAGGATAAAAGGCATCAATGGGGAATTCTGACATGTCATTTCATTTTTAGCTTATCGTTTGGAGATTCATGAAAAAGCTGTGCTTTTTCTTTTGGATGATGATTACAAGGAGGTAATAGGTGATACTGCTGCATTAGCTTTCCCTAATCTCTCTTGATCTGGTCTCTAAACATTGTGTGGCTATGATAGCTTGCAACAACGACTGCTTATGCTAATGTTTCCTGTAATCTACTTTCAGTACTTAACGCACATGGTGATTTAGTAGGAAAACCTAGGAAGTGGGGTTATTTTAAAATAAATCAATAATGTGCAACATACTCAAAAAACAGAGGGTCAACATTCAATCAAGTATCAGCTGGTTTGAAGGTTCATTCTATCCAGAAAAGAGACTCAAGAATGAAGTGTAGATGATGAAACTAAGATATTCTGGTGGCCAAATGACTTTGAAAGAGTAACAGATGTGTGTTTGTATGGCCAGAGTGTACATGTATTATATATACAGACCATTTTGTTGAGGAATATTGCAATGGTACCAAAGAATTAGTTTGTACTTTAATTTATATCAAAATGAGCATTGTTAATAAGTATATCCTGAATTAGGGGAATTATTGAGGTTTTTTTCCAGCTAGAGTAAAAAGCAACTTCCAACCTCCAAAATGTATTTGTAACCTCTAAAGCTTCCTAGCTCAGAGGGAGAGATCACTTGTTTTCTCCTCCTATATTTCTCTCTCTCTCTCTCTCTCTCATTCTCTCTCTCTCCCTCTCCCACCTTTTCCCCTCTCTCCCCTCTCCCTTGACATTGTTGAGTTTTAGAATGAGAAATTTAACTAGGAAATGAAAGATGCATATGTCTCTCTTCTTTTCCCAATTCCTGATTGCCTCCACAAAGCATTTTATAAGAGCATTCATCCGCAAGTGATTTTTTTTTCTTTTTCTTCTGTTTTATAATCAGAAAAATCTGTAGTTTATTTATTCCAAGGAGAGGACAGCACAATTAAAATGTTTATCCCAAAGAGTGACAATTATGTTCTTTTATCCCAAAGAATGCTAATTATGTTCCAGAAGCTCAATTAAGAAACTGTTATTAGGATTTCTGTACAAATTCAACGTAGAGAGAATATGAATGTCTTCAAGGTCAGTGCTATGGTACAAGCCAAAACAACAACACAACAACAGCAACAATAACAACAATAGCTTTAGCCAAATGTCTGCTGGAAATTTTACAGCTATTATCACCAGATCCCTAGGATGTTCATCAGGCCACAAGGCCACAACATCAGGACAGAGGGTACCAGTGGTGTGAGTGAAAATGGTAGAGTAGAAGCAGCTTCAGGTCTTTCCAGTTCAGCAAGTTCAGCACAGGTTGCTAAATGAAGACTATTCTATTCTGGGAAAAAATCTTAGAAAAATGGGGATCAAGAAGACTTTGGAATATAAAGGGTGGGGAGATTATAGTTTATTCCACAGGATGGAATTGAGGAAAGCAAAATGAATTAAAGAAAAAGAAGAAGGAAAGCGAAGGGAAGGGGAAAGGAGTGAAAGAAACAGAATGGGAGAGATGAAGGAAAAAAGGAAGAGAGGAGGGAAGGAGAGAGGGAGAAAGGAAAGGGGAGAGGAAAAGAAGAGAGATTATATAGTATCAGTTGTTATGGCCGTAGGAAGACTTCTATGAGCACCTAAGATGATGGGATTCCTGTGAGATTCCTAGAATTCTAAAACCTCTTGTCTTACTCACCACTCACAAAGACCAGCACACAGACAGACATTCACCTGTTTTTTGACACAGAACAGTCTTTACAAATATTTTTAGCAGGTTGTTGATTTAGAAGACTATTAAAGCCAAAAGCTTTGGATAACTCTGATTTTCACTTACATCTTGAGCTCTGGTCATTACATCCTGAACCTCGGCTTGGTTCTGCTGTTAACCAGTTTTTGAGTTTCGCCTTACGGATGAAGGGATAATTCCTAGATGTAATGTGAAGGGCTTTGAAAGACCAACCTTCTCATTGCCTGCCACAGTAAATAAATTTTATTATTTGGTGTGTTATATGGTGTAGGTAAATAATTGTTGGACACTTTTTCAATGGACAATTTGGTTTAATCATAATTTTGTGTTTGTGTAGTGAATGTCCCAAAGGGTAGGTTTGATCTATGTAGCTACCACTGGAATTCTGTTATGTTAAGAAAGGTTTATTGGTTAGGAATATTTTTTCACAAGTGACAAGAAATCTAATCCAAACTAGAAAAAAATTTATGGTTCAAGAAACGACACTTCTGTAATATATCTAGCTTTAGGTATGATATTTATCAAAGGCTCAAATAATCAATCAGGATCAATCTCTCAGCTCTCCTTCTCTGGGGTGACTTCATTCTCAGACTGGTTCTGTCTCTTCATCTCAACATGGTTTCCTGAAACTCCTGGAGTGTCATCCTTGCACGTTCATATTCAGTGGAAAAAAATGGACTCTTTCACAACTTTCAGTAATATACCGGGCATTCCTATGATTAGACCAATTTAAGTACTCACTTCATCCTTGAACAGTTTTTGGCTAGCTGTTAATGTTGGAGCCAGAGAGTAAAAGGTGAAAGATCCATGATGGCCATTCTATAAGTAATAATAATAAAAAAGGAACTATAGGGTCAAATTCTATTTTATTTTCAAGAAAGTCCAGAAAAATAACTTTTGTAATCTACTTTAAAAATTTGGTTAAATTTTTGCTCTTTTCTTAACATACCCGAAATCAAGGGTCCCCAACCCCTGTGCTGCAGACCAGTACTGGTCCATGGCCTGTTAGGAACCAGGCCACACAGCAGGAGGAGAGCAGCAGGCAGGTGAGCAAGCAAAAATTCATCTGTATTTGCAGCTGCTCCCCAGTACTAGCATCACCACTTCAACTCCACCACAGATCATCAGGCATTAGATTCTCATGGAGGCACTGGTCCCTGGTGCCAAAAAGGTTGAGGACCGCTGCCCTAAATGCTTTGTGTTAAACTGTAGGATCTTACATAATCACCTTTCTTTTTATCCCAAACATTTGCATTTTGCAAAGCTTTGTGCTTAGACTTTCTAGATATTATTGTACCCCTGAAAAATAATCTTGAAGTAGAAACTCCATTCTTGAGCTGGGCATTCTGACAGTCCTAACTGTCACCATCTGTTGCTTTTCTCCATTCCTGGCTACTAAAGCAGCAAAGAGGATGCTCGAACACATGCTGGAAATGTTACAGGTCAAGCTCAGGCAATGTCTGTGTGAAGTTTCAACACTGGACCACTTAGTGCATCTGCTTGTTTTGGATCATTTCGACTCAACATTAAGATGACTGAAGTCTCAAGAGAACTGGTTTAATTGGTTATCATATTAATTGGACACTGACTATCCTCATCTACAGAGAATGTTTTAATAATATCTTTGTTTTGACTCTAAAAGTAATGTACTTTTATAATTTTAGAATATTTAGGACATGGTTCTATAGTGTAGCGGTTAGCACGTCTGCTTTATATGCAGAAGATCCTGGGTTTGCACCACAGTGGAACCATGGTCCATGGTACCAC